TGCAGCTTTTCTTTACCTCCGTTTTCCTTGTTTTTCTCTACTCTTTGCTGGCGTTATTCTCAATCCTCTTTGATGGGCAAAGCTGTTTTGTGTTAAACTTGTAGAACTTTTTGCCAAATGAATGGTATTTTTACAAGTAAATTTAGTAAACTTTAGTTTCTCATCGATATTTTTGTCTTGCTTACAGTGACACTTCGATATCTACGCGAGTGGACATGCTCACGCCTGCTATTGAAGTCTACAAGCCGCCGCTCTGACATAAGGACGACACTGTGGAGAGCAATTTAGGGAATCCATCAACGAGTAGCGACTTCTAGCAGAACCTAATACAGAACACCTGCGGAACCAGCTACGGATAATCCCTTTGTTCTTCCAACATAGTGTCAATCCCAATCGAAATCCGAACAGAAAAGAGTGGAGTGGAGTGGAGTGGAGTAGATGGCGGCCAAAGGAAAAACAGCACTTGAGAGCCACGGCGCCTGGCCCGAAACTATCAGATGTTTTAAGTGCAACTAGGAGAACTTAAATGAATCAGATGAACGCGAAACACACACAGAAATTCATAATTGATCCAACTGAATAATTCCTAAGATTGATTAAATTTAGTTACTTTTTAGCATACGAGTAAATGATTTTTAAACCAAGCCGACAAAACGGGGAGAGAGAGAATCCAAAACAAACCAAACCAAGTGGCAACCAAGTGGTTATGGTGGTATGTGTCGGTATCGGAAATAAAACAGAAAACCTATTTATAAGCCATGGGCATGAGTGGCATACAGACAGGCAGACAGACATACATATATGTACGAGTATTTGTATTGTAGGCGTATCTGTGTGTACGAATTAAAAGATGCGAATTAGGCAATGTGTAAATTTAGTTAAAACCGAAATGATTATGGATATAAAACAATGGCAAACAGAGGAAACCAGACCTAAACAAAAACCAAATGCAATGAATAATTTTTGTACCGCTGAATGAGAAACAAAACAAAAATGAAAACCAGATTATTAATATAAGTGTACAATTTTGCATAGGTAATGAATAAGTTTGTATTGCATTAGTAATAATAAATACAAAAATAAAACAAAATGTTCAGCTTGTCACGGGAAAAGCAACCAAAATTCACTATAAATGCAAAGCGAGAATACCAAAAAAAAAATTTAATTTGAAATTCAGATGGAAAATGTAGAAGGAAATTCTGCCAGCGGCAAACAGTTTACGCTTCGGTTAAATGCTCCACACAGAAATAGACACGCCATGCCTCAGTTATACATATATTTAGGAGATCCGCCCACAAATGAACACATTCAGCGTTTTAGGGATTTTTGTTGTAGAATTTTGAATTAGGTTCGTCTTAGACGAATGTCCTTCACAAAGTGCCCCAAGTTGAGAGAATTTGGTCAAATTGTTATTCAGTTCATTATTATTAAAATACAATTGAATTATTTGGAGTCCCATCTTTGTGAAAGGAAGCGAAATGTTTAGCGATTAATTGAATAATGCAAGTTTTTTGACTGTGATCATTTAAATGATATAGAGATATGATATTATTGTGTGTTGTTGAGGGCAACCAAAATTTTGAAAAGCAATTTACTTCTCCCTCTTGATTCAATCATCCATCATACAATCAATCAATCAATCAATCAGTAAGCTAGCACGCCAGACCACAAAACACAAGAGTTTTCCACGTTTCCGCATCAGTATCTATGCATAATGTAGGTAGTTCTATCACGATAATCACAATTATTAGAAACACATACATAGAATTGTATATCCGGTTTATTATTATTGTTATCTTTGGTTTCGAGGCTGATCGCACACTCACACAATTTTGTGCTTGACAATATTTAATTTCTAAATGGAAAAGAAAGATAAACTTTCGATTTGACCTTGCAATCTCAATCACTCCATCACCATAAATCGCTGCGCCCAATTTGTAACTACATAAAAACCGCTTATTCTGTTCCACATTGCGACACAGAGGCTTTGGATGAGCAGGAGAAGTACGAGGCAGAAGTACGAGGCAGGAGATATTGAATGTTAACATTTATTTATACAAATATAAGCTGCAGATCATTGTTGGAATTAGAGGAACCTGCATAGTTTTTTGATATTCATGTAGATACATGTAAATGCCACTCACTAAACTTAAGACAAAGGTTACGGCTAACGATATCGATGGCATCAAGGATAATTGCATTATATTTGTAATATCAAACTGTTCATAGTTAAGGCAACATAAGCAACAAACCAACCAGAAATACAAAATGAAACGACATGAATAATAAGAGTAAATGTATATAAGCTGACTAGTGATTGGTAATGGAAACTTTTCAAGGGGAAAACTCAATGAAACAAATGAAGCTACAACAGAGTGCATATAATTTTGATAGTTAAGCTAATTTTAATACATTTTTTAAGACACCAGCAAGGCAAACCAGACGAAACAAAACAAAAAACATAAACTAAACTTAACTAAGAAAAACCAAAACAGGAAACCAATTGAAGTATGTCAGCGAAAAAAATATATTTCCATTTTTTACACACATCCATTACCCCCACACACACTGGCTCGTTGATTGGTTTTGTTATTACAAAATAAAATAATGCAATAACATTCGAATAATTCCTTCTATTATTGTTATTATATGTATTATGCATTATGATTGTTATGAGCAAAATTTGAATTTGAAATTTGCACACTGATTTTGTATACACCACAAATTGGCTTGGTACGTGGAGGCGAAATTCGTTTTATACTCGTATATTCCCGCATTGAACAATGAACATTTATTTATACATACGAGAATATAATGACGAGAGAAATAATCGAAAATAATAGAACTAGAACGCATATTGAATAATAAACGAGACATACATATTATTGAAGGAAATTAAACAAAGAACAAACCCAAAAAAGAAAGAAGAGTTTCGTTTTGATTTCGTTGGCAAATGCGGGGAAAATATTCTACCCATCAAGGACTGAAAATTATGGCCCCATCAAGTAAGTAGCCTGGAAAATGGAAATTTTCCGCCTTTCCCAAGTGGTTCGCCTTGAAGTGGTTCAGTCAGACCTGCGTTTCTGTCGCCATTTGCCATGTTTAATATTCGATGAAGTAAATTACACAAATCCCAGCATTTTTGCCATTCCCATCAAGAAGCCGAACAGTAAAAATTATCTCGTACCATCGTCCGTCATTCCAGGCCGCTGGGTTTGGTCCGTGGTATGAGTAGGGAAAATGCGGCTTACAGGTTGTGGCCTGCCCGACGCGGCCAGGTTGCCCGACCCACGGGGCTGTGGAGCTGAATCGGGGGCGTTATGTATCGACGCAGTCGCGAGTTTGCCTCCCCACCGACAACAAAATGAAATGAAGTGAAATGAAATCAAAGGCATCCTTCGCGCTGATGTCGGCAGCCAAAGCTAACGCATGGCCACATACAGACACACACACACACACACTCACACTCTGGGAACCAGAACCAGGCACAGTGGAGACGACACAGCATGTGAGATAGTGACTTACACTGACAAAAAAAGCTAAGTTGTTATGGTTGATTTAAAATAGCCTGAGAGAAGATACTCGTACTCCATCTTCATTGGTTAGTTTTGGTATTTCTTGGAGTCTCAATAAGGTTAGTCACAAGCCCGATCATTTGGCAAACTTCTCACTGTGTGTCCTGCCACAAGCCAGGCACATACTTGCTCCCAGATGATGTTTACACTTGAGCTGCAACATAGGCAAACACAATCTACATGCCAAAGCTTCCTCCCAGTTGGTGCGTTTGTTGTGTGTGCGCTGGCCCTGGCCACCAACTCGAATACCCACAAGAAATCGTCGTGGTTTCAGTGAGAAGTAGAAGCCTTGGCTTGCGATCCAAGTTGTTTGCCTGTCACATCCCAAACCAGTGTTGGCTTGGCTATGCGGTCGCACTATGTGCGGCAGATATGTGCACCCCAGAGAGTGTGGATAAATGTGGACCGAAGTTGGTTAGTGCGGAAGCCAGTCAAATGGGAATGAATGTGGGTGTGCATATGGGCGTGGGATGGGCCCAACGATGTCATAACCATAAGGCCAAGTTGATCCTGGATCGATTAGTTGAGCAGGAAGCTGGCCTGCCATACCGGAAGCTCATCCCCAGCGTCCAGACAGCTTTGTGCGAGCTCAAATTGGAACAAGGACACAGACCCTCAGGCTACGCATCTCTCAACAGGTAACTCAACGCCCCCTCAAATGCGATTGATGAGCAGTGCACGAGTAGATGGAGGGAGAGTGTGGTGAGAAAGGGCCGTGACTGCAGTCCAATGAAACGCTTCACTTGGAGGAGCAATTGGGAGAACAACGAGCTTAACAAGTTGCCAATGCGCCGTGGGCGCTTCACGATATCCACTCGTGATCCATTTATCCCCACCCTTCCGACGCCTCTGTCTCTGTCTCTTTCTGGTGGTGTGGTAGTTGGCACTTCAATTGAACACATTAATGTGCGACTTGTCAGGAACCGCGGCCGCGTCGGGCATAATTGCGCCTGGAATACCATAAATCAACACTCGCACCATTTCCATGGAGAGCTATCGATTAGCTGCTGGTGCCAACCTTCAAATTGGAAAACATTTCCCCACCTCGGAGATATAACCTCTACGGCCAGCCGTTGCAGCGGTGAGTGCGGACACTCACTATGGACAGACCCCACCCGCGACCCAGATTGTTTTGCTTTAAATTTATGAACTTGAATCTAGTAAAGTTAGCTAACAGCCACCACTACTACTGGAGTAGGCGACTGCCTGCCCCCGTTATGGGTTCCGGGCCAAGCACGAAAAGAATGGAAAGGCTTGCATGACTGCAGGAAATTACCATAATTTCAATTTAAGAAATTAAACGAATTTTGCTCTACACTGAAAAGACCAATCCGATCTATACAAAGTAGATGGCTAAGTAGATGATTTATTGGTTCTCTACATAGTTCGATTCGTGATGCTATAAGTGTGGAGTTACATTTCATAGCAGAATACAATTTTCATCGAGTATATTTCAAAGAGTTTATGGACTATTGAGCGTGTTCAACAGGGCCAAAATGGCGTTGTGCTTGCTTCCATTCTCGCTTCTATCGCTCTTCACTTGGATGCCACTTTTACGCATAGCCGCACGTAGGATGAGCATGCGAGTGTTTCGCTGATAGCTCTTGCCAAGAGCCAGGACACGCTCCACCGTGATACTGCGCTGATCGGACTCCTTGGCGTAGAGGATCTTGTTGTGCGAATCGATGCGGGCCTGAATCTGGCCATCTAGAATCAGCTGCATCACCTCGTTCTCCAGATCACCCACCGAGGTGTTGAAGTCCATGGCCATTTTGTGCATGTAGACCGACATGTAGGGACTGAAGTACTGGATCATGGCTCGTTTTCGAATTTGGGTGTAGAGCGTGCCCACATGGGGTGCTATGTACATATCAATCAGCAGATTGTCACGAATCTCATCGAGCAGCGTCATGCACGAGGCGTACTTGCTCTCGTGGAACAGGACAACAATGTCGCGCAACTGCGGCTCCAACTCGAGGAAATGCTTGAACGATTGAGAGGACAGCAGGCGCCTTAGCTCCGGCCTGCCGAAGGTGGCCAAAGCGCAGAGGCCGCCATAGACAGCCACATTGTTTGCGGATATCATTTCGGGCAGCTCGAAATGGTCAAAGTTGGCGTTCAGAAAATGCTCGGCAGCCGCCTTGTATTTTTTAAGCTGCATCTCGGCCAGGCCGGCGGCGCAGCTTAGGTGTGTGCGGATCTGGGCGTTGGCCTCCCTGGCAAAGTACGAAGAACTCTGCACCTTCGCAATGTTGGTCATGATTTTGCCCCAGTTCTGCATATAAATGAAGACCTTAATCATATTTAAACACGTCTTCAACTCATGCTCGCCGCTGGTGCAATAGTCACGGTCGCGTGAGTAGAATTGCAGGGCATTGCTCAGATCCCCGCAGCTCAGATAATATTCGGCCAAGTCCTCGTGGCCGCGCCGAATGGCCTCCTTGAACGAGGTCGACTTGTAGGATCTCAGTTGTTCATCAAGCACATGCAGCCTGCGGTCAGACTTCTGCACAATGGTGTCGACCCAATAGGCATCATACACAATCGAACCCGCAGAAGCAGGAGCGCCATAGCTTAAGTCGCGCAAACGCTTTTGCAGCAACTGGTACAGACTAACGTTGTACGTGGTCTGTACATATGGGATGGCCATTTTGAGTGCCTCCACGGCCAGGCTGGGGCAAACTTCGGCCACATACTTCAGCCGGTGGAGTCGTCCAATGCCTTTGTATTGATTGGCATACACGTCCAGATCAATGCTGGGATTCTCCACCACAATATGCTGCACCTCGTTGTTCGCATTCTGCTCGTTCGGTGGCGCGTCTACTTCCAGCGGCTCTGGATCGTTCTTTTTGTATGCAAATGAAAATGTAAGCATCACTAAAGTGTGCGAAAGATGTAGTAATCATTGTGGAGCTTACCTGCATCAGTTGTGGCAACAAGGGCAGCATGGTTCCACTTTTGATCCAAATTTATTCGCAAAGACAAAAACGTGCATATGTATGTAAACAACTGTACTGCCAACTCATAAACAATGCTGACCACTTGCCGCTGTAGTTGTCGCTTTTGAGAATAGTGGCAGCACCAGCAGCAGTGTTCGAAAACGCTTTAACGAATTTTAAAAGTTTTTTTTTTTGTGCCGCTGCCGTTGCGCATATCTTCTGCAAAGCACGTGGAGTTTCAGTTGCACCATTTGTCACTTGTAAAACATCTAACATTCAGCCCAACAACAGGAGTTAAATGGATAAAAATATGGATCCCTTGTTTGCTGTGATTAAGTGCGAGATGTGCATCAATCCAGTCACTAATTTTGTAGTTGGGCTCTGCAGTCGCTGTGAAAAAATGTGGACCACCAAGAGGCTGGAGAGCTTGGTGCCGATCAGCAACAATCGCATAAAGGGAGCCATCGTCTCCAGTTTTCACGAGACAGATGCCCCCTGGGATAACGCCTTCCTGGCGGCCACGACGAACGCCAAGATGAAAAAGGCTCAGAAGATCGCGCTCTTTCAAAAGATTCGTGGCCAGTTCGCCAGCAGCGTGCTCACCGTCGACGAAGACTCAGAAATGGCAGTACCCTATAAGACGGAGGACAACTGTTGGGATATTCCCGAAGCCTTGGATAAAGACGTAATGGAATTTCAACGTAATGTCGATCTGCTGGCTGAAATGGGGCCAGACAGAAGCCGTTCGTCTACTGACGAAGACATTACGGACCAAGACACGGAATATTCTTCATGTGCCCGGGTCACACCAAATATGTCAAAGAAAATTTAATGACGCTTTTTTCTACCATACAAGTATTAATTAGCATTAAACCAAACATTATACAACATAAAACTTTTAAAAGTTTTGCTTATTCTAATGGTCTCAATATTTGCGGGGATGGTTAATTTTCGTAGGCAGAAAGTGGCACTTGCAAACTCAGTTGCCGACATATTCTTGATCCCTGTATCCGTGATCTAATCCGTTGAAGCTAAATCCGCGGCTTACTCTGTAGCTTTCGTCAGCTGGGATGGAAACTTTTTTTAAATTGAGATATTAGCGGCACCGCCAACGATGCATGAAATTAGGTGTCCAGCTCGTGTGCCATTCAGGCAAGTCCACCTCGCCGTGCGGTGTCCAGATGCCTAGCCGCACAGACAGCAATTTCAGACAGCGAGGTTTCAGATCGCCCGGCGGTGTGCCAGGCTAGCTTGGTTTAGAGATGCGCTCCTTCCCATCATGAGGCTGCACCAAGTTAGTTTGCTTAAGTGTTAGTTTGAGAAAGTGTGCTTCGTGTCCCTTCACGTACCTGCGAACAGCCTGCAACATAGTAAAACAGATAAACGCGTGTCAACTGGTTACGGCGCTTTTACCTATAGCATGTGAAAGTTCCAGCGAATAGATGGGTGATGGCGCACATAACGAACGGCTGCGCATGCTCAGAGAACCCAGGGTAAACACAAGATCCGATAAAAGCGCATTTAAATTTATAAATTTAAGCACTGCGTTTTGTTGTTGTCGGCGACTTGGTCGCCAGTATTGTAAAACGTCAAAAAACAACCACTCACCCGCAACCACAAAAAGCGCAAATGCTGTGACTTTGCACCACCGACCCCATAATCCCATCCCCTTGAATTCAAAATTCCTCAGGGTATAATTACCATTTTATCGGTGTATCGGGGATAAACAGTTGTGCGTTGAGTTGTATTTATGTCAACAATGTTCGATGTGCTTAAGTGTTGTAAAATGTCCAAAGCAAGGTCAAAGAATTGTCTGAACGCTTTGTATACAATGAATGTACTGCGTCTGTATCTGTATGCGTCTCAAAGATAAATTTTGTATATTTTTTTTACATGACACTTTTCTAAAAATAAAACTTAAAATTTGCAGTTGGAGCAAAGCTGACAACAAATCGTTCTATACCGATTAAAATGCAATGAGAGCCCCTGGGAACCAATCGCCCATACATTTTATTCAGACAGTTTATAGGCGAATTGACGCGTCTATGTGATGTTTGGTATCGAAAATAGTATCCAACATTATCTAACCTCAGCGAAATAGTTAGCAATAATCGTTAACTAGTGTTCGTAGAAATAATTTGAGCGTCCCCAAAGGTCAATGCGCCAGTGCCCTTTACCCACTCCACTTGTAATAAGGCACAGCCGTTGGAAATGGCACCTGATCATTATCGAATGATTATGGCCAATTACCTACCACTTGTGCCTGGCTGTATCGTAAATAACCATGGCCAGATTCCATGTGTCCAGACGGGCTCAGCGGCCAATTCAAGTCAAAAACCAATTGAAGCCAAGTGATTGCTATTGCTCATCATTTTATGGGCCAGGCCTGGATGGCTATCCGGACAGCGACCATCCCAGGGCTGTCTCCAGGGACCCATGGACATTTTGCTAATGAAAATGTATATTCAAATTTGCGTCAATGGATGTGTTTACACGAAAGAAATGACCATCAATCTACATAAATAAGCGTAAGTATGGTGAGCACACACACGCGTGGTTGCTGCATTGTTCTTGTGTTGTATTGTTCGACAATTTGTTTAATGAGAAAACTAATAAATCAAATGCCCCGTCCATTACAATCAAATTTAGTTTGGATGGTGCTCGAAATGACGAAGACTGGACGGGTGTTCTACGGATCGATTTCCCTATCGATTGACTCATCCCCAGCGGTGAAGGCGCTGGAACAGGACATATTCCTTGGGTGCTTTGCTTTAAAATTAAGCTGAAGTCACTTTTTAAGCCGTAATCCCTCCTTTAGAGTGGCTTTTGATTAAGCAACAGGCGAAAAACCATGAGGAGGTCAGCGCCAGAGCTGCGAGAGGATGTCCCGGCATGAAGCGAACATTAGTCAAGTGCAACAGTTTTCAAATAAACATAAATTGAACATGCTGAGCCAGCGGAGGCAGCAGTCGGATCCATGGCTTGGGACGCAGATGCACCATTCCCCATGCCCCCTGCCTGGTGTCGTAATTAAAGCCAGTCGCGCAATAACGAAAAGGAATGTTCGTTGCCAGCAAGAGGATGCGACTCTAATTTATTTGTTTTTCTCACTTGACTTTTATTTACACGTGCATTGGCATGCGAGTGGCGTGGCCTGGCTTGGCCTAGCGCGGCGTGGAGGGGAATGGAACGGATGTGCTGCTGGGATGGGAAAAAACTATGGCAGCATGGGCATCGTGGCCATAGTTTGTTACCTTTGTTTGGGAAAGTTCTCCGTGCGCCTTTCGGGGTCAGGGCACAGTGCCAAATTGGCCTAATGGCGTTAATGCGAAGACGAGTCGGGACTAAACCAGCGACAAACCAGCCCCAACACCAAAGGTCGCTTCCACATAGCTGCAGCTACAGATACAGATGGAGATGGAGATAGGGACAGAGATGCACTTGCCAAGCCCTGTTTAATGGGCAGCCCGAGACCCTACCTCACTTGCCTCAGAAAAACTCTCAATGCAAATCAAAGCACTTAAAAAGTTGAGCAATTTGGCAACGACTACTAATGGAAGCCCATGCACGGCATTGGGTATGAACAGAATTTCATTGAAAGCATGTGAAGAACCCGCAACACATTTTTGCTTTACCTAATTCCTGTTTACATTGTATTTCATTGCTTTCCATGAAGCTCCGATCTTGGAATTGATGGCTTGGGCTTGCTAACGATCAGAGCTTTACAGTTGCGTCCACTAACATGGGCATAGCTGTGGCCAGTAGGCAAGATGCACAGTCGCCTCCGTGAAAAGTGTTGTGGGTCTCTATGCCTCATTACATTGGCATTACTAAATTACTCGCACCCTTACATCCTTTTAAGCTGATCTTAATATACATATTTATGTACATATGTATTTATATACGGGTATACACTCTCATTGGTTCATTTGTTCAATTATGCAATGTTAGCTGGCGGACACAGTGTTATAGATATGTACGTGTACAATGTACACACATAATTCTGGGTGCAACAAAACGGTTAGTACTGAATTTTGGCTGGCCTTTGCAGTTTGTTGTGCAGGATATGCGTGCAATGGCGGTGCTTATTTACATCCCATTTCCGCATCCGTTTTTACGAGAACCGCTGCAGCGCTATTTGTGTACCAACAGCTCGTACTCGTACCCGCACTCCACCCACACCACCCAGTCTCTATTTTTGCGTGTGCGTGATTTTCAAACACTTTCACAGCCCAAGCCCGTATAAAACTTTTAATGGAATTCCCATAATCTTGTTTAAAGTTACGAAGGACCCGGGAAGTCGCGCTCTATTGGTATGTATTGATTAAAGGGAGAACACTGCCACAAATATGGAGATGTCTGGAGAATTTACTGGGAATCCAATACACCAACACATCATCCCATCATACTGGCATGCTTACCCCACGTGAAAGCCTTCGAAATAAGTGCTTAAATTTAAGACGTAATAGATTGAGCTTCCGTATTCGATTACGGTGTGTTAATACCAATGCACCGAGTCAAATCCAAATGTGAAAATGCTTTAATTATACATTTAAATTATAGACGCATTGTCGAGCATTGTGTGCATTGTGAGCTTTTGACTAGTCGTCAAAGCACCGACACCCAGGGTGCACAAAAATTCGCAATGTTTGATATCTTGAACGCTCCACCGGTTGATCCCTTTGGGGTGCCACTTTTGGGCAGCCACTGGCCCATCTTGACCATAGTTGCAGTCTACCTGCTGTTTACGCTGAAGGTGGGCAGGAAGCTGATGGAGAATCGAGAGCCTTTCGATCTGCGCGGCGTCATCAAAGTCTACAACATCGTGCAAATTCTGTACAACGGCATAATGCTTGTGAGCGTGAGTGATCTCGTCTAGTCAGACAGACTCCATGTTCTCCTGGCAATAATGTCTTTGTGTGTTCCCACAGAGCCTGCTTTTTATGCTGAACACCTACGACCTCAAATGCGTAACCAACCTGCCAATGGATCACGAGTGGAAGAACACAGAGCGATGGCTGACCTACTCGTATTTCCTAAACAAGATACTGGATCTGCTGGACACCATATTCTTCGTGCTGCGCAAGAAGCATGGGCACTTAACATTTCTGCACATCTTCCATCACTCTATAATGCCGTACATATGCTTTACGTACATCCGTTTTTATGGACACGGTGGCCATGGCTTCTTCCTCTGCTTCTTTAATGTCTCAGTGCACGTTTTTATGTACACCTACTACTACATATCCGTACACAAGGATGTCCAAGCAAATCTCTGGTTCAAGAAGTACATCACCATCGTTCAGCTCACCCAGTTTTTCATCATACTCGTTCACTGCATCTACACCCTGCGCCAGCCCAACTGCAATGCATCCCGAAATTTACCAGTTTTTGGCGCCCTCGTCTCAATAACATTCATCATTCTGTTCCTTAATTTCTACGTAAGGGCCTACATAATGCCCAAGAAGAAGGCCAGCGATCGAAAGGGGAAATGATTGTTGGAGCTAGCCTTCAGATGTATTATTCCAAAATTTGTTAAGCGAATTAAATTCAACTTCATCTGCATGTTCAATGTTCTGGTGCATATCGTAATGTATGAATACTACTATGCCTCATCCCAGAGCCGCAATCTTCAGGAGAGTCTCTGCTGGAAGAAGTACCTCACCCTCACACAGCTGATCCAGTTCATGATGATGTTCCTGAACTGCGCCTACACCTACTTCCAGCCCAACTGCAACGCATCTCGCGGCGTTATCTACTTGATCTGCACCATGTTTGTGATGTTCACCAAATTCGACATAAACACGTACATTCGTCCGAAGAAGGTCAGGCCCAAGGGTACAGCGCATTGATTCATATTTGCATATTCCCTAAACGAATGAAAGCAGCAATTAAATGTACTCGGATAATGCAATGAAAGACCAAGGCGAAAGCTTTCTTAAATGTCACTACAGGTGCACATCCCCAGGGTTATATCTCAGCTCAGCTCAAAATGTATGTTTATGCAGTCCACCCGGAGGATAACCTACTTGTGGGCCGCACGTAATCTGCATGTCCCCAGTACGTGTTTGGATTTGGATTCTCCCTCTTTCTGCATTTCCATGTGCCTTGTAATTAGAATATAAGACTGGGCCGGGCCACAGCAGGCCAGACCCGTCGATTTATGGCACCGGAAGGGTCGCCTGCCTGGCTCTGCCTGCCTCCATTTGCATGAGAATCGCATGCGGCGAATCAGAGGCGAAGTGCTTGCTGAATAATTGCGGCCATGCAGTGACATTAAAGCGAAGCCGAAGCCACAGTCAAGTGCAACGCCATGCGCCTCGCTCTAGGTCTGCGGAGTGCCTGGGCATTGGGCCTCACTCGGTTCCTATTATTCTGTTGCGGTACCGCAGACAGAACCGTAGCTAGAGAGCGTGCTGAGTAATTGCCGTTTTAAATGACATTAAACGTGCATTGTGTGGTTCTGTTAGGACCTAAGAAGGACCCAGGGCACACAGTCACCCTGGCCAGTTTATTTCATCCTTTTCTGCTGCTTTTCACATTTTGCTATTTTTATGCACATCCCTTGCATGTTGAGAAAGGGCGACCACGACCCTTAAATAAATCTCAAAATAGTTAACATTATTTATTTAAATTGCTATATGGAAAAGAGCCATCTGTGTGATGGCTGTTGCTGTTGTTCTATGATCTCAAGATACATTTATTTGCCTTTAATTTGGTTTTCCCCAAGACGGGACTGCAGCACACAATTTGTTATTCTCTTTTGCTAACCAAATGCTGGGTATATAGAGGCTTTTGTTATACTCTGTCGATTACACATAGTCCGTCTGTCCGAGAACCTACATAAGAGTATTAGCAAGTGATTTAATTTTCAAAGAATACCCAGGCCAGCCGAGGAGAATTGCAAGAGTCTCGTTTAGTTATGTATATCTTCTGTACAGTGTGCCCTTTGTGGGACCGTAGTGAAGTCGAAAGTAAGACAACGAAAATATTTGCACCACGAAGGTTGATTATTCCGAAACTCTTATATTGAGTCTGTGTGAATATTAACTTGATCGGTATTGGTTTTAATTTTTCCTCATGTAATAGTAGTTCATTGTTTGAATTCAAATTCTAATAAGATCATGTTTGTTCTAAAAGTAAACCAAAGCCTCCTTCTTTCTGGTTATTATTTTGTGACGGCCCATTGTGGCAAGTTCCATTGACCGAAAGCTATTGTCCGTGCCGAATTATGTATTATATAGTACTATTTAGTACCATTAAGCCAAGTCATTCTCCACTAACTATCGCAGGGCTAAGAAATTATTTCTTATTAAAGGTGGGAGTTTTACCGTTGCAAAAGAAACGACGGCGCCAACGAGCAAGTGTTTGGGTGGGAGGGCCAGAGGGCGTCAGCCATTGCAAATTGAGTCATTTTTCATTCGAAGCCAGATAAAATCGGGATTGGAGGAGAGAGGAAAGGGCAAAGGAGCGGACGGAAGAAGCAGAAGGCCTCAATGTGTCACAATTCCGTGGCCATAATTGGGTCAAAGAATTGGTCCTTTATGTACGGTGCTTGACCGCTGAATAAGAAGGATTATGCCACTTTTTCTCTCTCTCTCTTTCTTTTTTGTTTTTTATTGGATTATGTAGGGACAGGTGCATTAATGTTATCCAGCTAAAGGCTAAGGACATAAAACCGACAATTTATAAGGCCCGGAAAAGGGATGGAAGAGATGGAGGGCGGCGGCACACACTCGCATCCCTGCCACATTGTGTCCCTGCCAAATTGGGAGGCATAAAAATGGCGTCTCATTATGGTAAAGTTAATATTTCATGGGCAATTTACCGAGATTGAAACCGACACACTTCAAAAACTGCGTACATATTCATGTTCATGTCCGTATGTATACGGCACACACTGGAGCATAATTACGGTTGCCGATTTTCAAAAGTCCTGCTGAAATGTCGTCCTTTTGCTTTCTTCATACAATTTTAAACTCAATTAAAAGTTTTTCGCATTAGACGTACTTGTGCCCAAAGAGCGAGACACGCAGTTGAGACCGACCCCACTCCATCAGTAGGCATACATTCTGACATTTGTATGTGAATCGGCAGAATTATGCTGTGAAGCGGCGCAGGAAGGGCCCGTCCCACACCAAATGACATTCGCATTTAGTTGTCATTAAAAAAGTGAGTGATACGAACTAAATGACTTGACGTGTGCTGCACACCTGAATGGGATAAAAGTAGACACAGACCGCGGTCCTTGGCCCGGGTTCCAAGCAGGCAAGAGAATTCAATTGAAGCCAACAACCCATTGGCACACATTGATACGCTGCTTAACTCTGGATGTACGCCAGCTGTGGCCCAACTAAGGATGGAAATACCTTTAATGAACGTGACAGGCAGTAGTTTCGAAGATCTAAAAAGACAGAGAATTGGAAATAATTCAATTACTGTCGAACGAAAGATTCCTAAATACAGCGAGTCGGGGCCTTGAATTGCAGTTGCATGCCTTAAGTTTGTGGTTACTATTTTTGCTGTACATATTAAATTTGTAAACTTTGAAAACTTTCAGAGAGATTCAGACATGACTGCAATAACCATAAACGTGAGTCGGCCATGTTGGTAATAGACCTGACTGCCTGAAAGCGTTGCCGTGGCAGAAGTCGTAGCCAACGCCGCATGAATAATGAAAGCAAATCGGAAAGAGGCAAAACAGCAAAAAGTTAAATGCTTCTAATGACAGAAAATGAAGCAAATGACGAAAAACATTGCGCAAAACAAAAGAGACAAATAATAGCATGCCAAAATGGCCGCCTCGGGTCGGCCGGGAGCCCGGACTCTGGGCAGCACCACCACTTGCACCGCCCAGGCAACAGCAAGCACATCCTCCCCAGCCAACTAAGGAGAGAACGCACGAACGGAGATAGGGAAAGGGAATGTAAAAGGAAGCTAGCGATGGTGGCGAGGGGCGAAGTGAATTACCGACTGCGGGCGAATCAAGAAAACCATGTGCGCGGCATAATTACGAAGCAATTAGACGAAATTATTATTGAGGTCACTGGCAACAGGGACACACGCCGCCTTGCTATTCGGGGTGGCCCGTAGAGACCATATGGCCACGGCTAGTGCTAGTCCTCGCTGCTGCTTCTGCTGATGCTCTTCTCCTTTATCCATCTCCTAGTTCTACGAGTGGCGTGTCAATGGGATGCGTCTGCCATTATCATTGCCGGCAGAGCGATAAAAAAGGAAGCAGACACAGCACAATGCCCACTAAACGGAGAGCACAAAGCGCACACAGCAAACTAGTACACAGAAAAGCTGGCTCAAAGCAGGAAAAATAAAACAACTTTATCCTAGAACACGCCGAATATTAAATGCACTAACCAAGAGTCTAAGAGTCTAAGCCTGTGTATACTATGTACTATGTATGTATTTTTCCAAAAGATGCATTGCAATAATATTAAATATTATTAAATAATATTACTCATTTTAGCTACGAGGGCCTTTATGGAGTATTTAACCCATTATTATCATGATAGATACGGGCCCTTAGTCTTGTGGGTGTGGGTCAGTGGGTGAATGTTTGAACAGCTGTCACTGGAACCCCAAGAGAAGGTAGGGGAATACATAATAAGTACATAAATACACACAGGATGTACAGAGGGCCATGAATTTGGCGTAAAATAATTTAAAGCTGAGGCATGAATTTGCATGTGAGTATAGTTTTTGGAAGTTCACGGAACTGACAGAATATCGGATGTCGCTCGTTTTGAATTGAGTTCAGTTTGACGGTCAGCTGGAATTTGAAGCCTTAGAGATCGCGTGTTCAAAGTTCAATGCTGAAAATTAAATAAAGCCGTCAAAACATTTCGTACAATGACAATGACAAAACGCCATGCAGAGCTACCGCCACCACCCACTAACCATCAGCTCCACATTATTTGATTTGCAGCCAGAGGGAAGTCGGAAAATGGGACTGGTTCGACCTTAAATTGTTGCTTGGCAGCCAACTAAAGACCTCGGCCTGCAGACATACTCAGGCTCAGACCTTTTGCTAAATATTTTGGAGGTCAAAATTGATAGTTGACCTGAAACTGGATGGAGCAAGCTCTATGTGGACTTTAATGTAAAACTTATTATATTTGGGATTACAGACACATTTTTGTTACATTACAGGCTAGGACAGAATTACAGTATTTTGCAATACATATTTATTTATTTCCTTACTCGAGTAAAGCAAATGTAAATATCAATGCTAATAGGAAATATAGAGTTGCGATTTTAGACTATAAAATTTTCATAGCTGGCTGCTATAATTATTTAGATGAGTGGTGTGTAACTGTTAGCTGGCTTCTGCAAGACGTGCGATATTTCCAATTACAGCAACGATACTAGAAAATCGCACAACTTTTCTCTCTTTCCTGTGGTGGAATATCCTCTCGCAACATCGGGACTCCTTCCCGTTGACTCCTACTTTGCCATTCGTTATATTCCATTTCCGATTACGTTCCCTACCGTTCTTTGTGTGGTGAGCAGGTGAGCAAGTTGTGTATTTATATTTTGTTGACACTTTCCGTTTAAAATGTTTTTTTTTTTGTTTAAATCCAATCAAGAGAAGTCGTCGGTATAAGCCAATCTTGTGAACAAATGATTCATAAATCGGAGAAAATTTAATTCGTAGTGCCAGACCACTAGCTAGCTTGTAATTTCAAGGCGAATTTCAAAATCAAGGAATTCGATTTAAGATCATGGGCAGAAAACACTTAACCCATTGTCGACCAGTGGATATTTCAATATATGAACGGATATTATGACACTAGAAGAATCGTATCGTTTTGCTTTTGTAAAAAGGATGGATGAAGCCACAAGGAGCATTTAGAAACAGTATTATTTTCCTTTGTTTTGTTCAACTGTTTAAACAGAGCTGGAAT